ATATGTTTTCTTTTCAATCTTTTATTTTTCTTCATCTTTCTTTTGAAATTATGAAAGAATTACTAACTTAAATTATAAATATATTTACAAGTTAATATATTTTTATTTATTATCAGTTTTTAACATAATATATCAAATTAATCATGTCTTGAATTTTGATTTGACACTTATATTGAACATATTTTATAATAATATTTAACTACCTATTAATATTAATTAAAAATAAAATTATTAAAATTAATTTAACTAAAAAGTTGTTTAATGATATAATTTTAAAAACATATTATAATATAAGATGATAAACCGTAAAAGTGATGCGTGTCGTTTTAAATATAAATAGTAATATAGTTATTTAAAAATTGTTTTTTTTTTTAATATATATCAACTCAAACATTTTTATCTCTAAATAAATTACGTATGAATTAGAAGTATTATTATAATATAAGAAGGGCAAATCGTACGAGTTTAAATAGAAATAATAATGTAATTATTTTAAAATTATAAAAAAATAAAATAATAAAAACTTTATCACTTAAGAATTTCAACATACAATTATTTAAGTAGCACTTGTTTAGTCACGAATGTTGTATCATAGGTATATAATTTATTAAAATCAATGCCGTTAAACAGTTTTAGATTAAAAATAACGAAAAAAAAAAAACACTTTCAACACCTAACAAATGCCACATTTTTGCTTTTGGTGCACGAATTTTTAACTTAATAGTTTTGGTCACAAAGAGAGTGATTGATAAGCAGTCATAATCAAATAAAATCGTGCAAAATTGGATTATGAGTTAAAAGTGAGATATTAAAGGTTATGGAATGAAATGAGAGATATTGTAATTGAATAATATTTAAATGTACTGATTAAAGTTGATGGTATGTAAATAGGAGAGAGATGATAAAAGTAAAAAATATTTAAAAATATGTAAGTCAAAGAATATTGAATTAGAGTTGATGTGATAAGACATATATGGTTATTATTATTTAACTATGTATGAGAAACATGGTCAAAACCAGTTTCGAACCCAGTTTTAGATCGAATTCGCCGGTTTTGGACCAAGGGTTGGGTGACCTTGAACCGTCCCGAACATACGTACAAGTTTGTTTGGTAAACCATCGGTTCTGGGCCTTCCTGATTCATTAAAAATAATAATAAAAAAAATAAAACAAAATCAAAAAATAAAGGGCCGAATTGCCTGTTACCATTCTAATTCGAAACCGTCCAGGCGGTACAGAAAGTACAAATATGTGGCTCGGAACCGATCCGGTCAAATCATAGGTTCGGTTCAAGACCCGTCAACCACAAGTCGATTCGATTCGTAATTATGTCTTATTAAGAATAATGTGATTGAGTTAAATTTTGATTTTAAGTTACTAGAAAAACTGATTCAAAGAGAAATGCTCACCTACCCACAATGAGCACATATTAACATGTTGAAAACTGAATTTATTTTTGTAACTCCTTACCAATAAATCCAAACCTTTTTGGCTACCAAAATGAAAATTTTCCTTAAAAATAAACATTTTTTAAATTTAAAATATTTGATTAAAATTACTCGAGCTCATATTGTATTGTACCACCCAAAAAAAAGTAAGTGACATTAAAATCTATTTTTTCCCATCACAAATTTTCTCCCCACGTTTCATTTCCCTATCTCGCCGCCGGCCATCCCGCTTTGAGCTCCACTGCTACCGCCGCCGGTGGCCCTACCAGTCTTTCTCCGCCGCCTCGAGTCCATCAGAACCAACGATTCTCCGCACAGCCGCCCCCACAAGATACAACCGTCGGCCATCGGAACCTTACGCAGAACGCGAAAACAGGTTCCGTCGCTGATTTCAATTATTGCATCTTTGGAATTTCCTGAACTTGGATTATAATCTTCTCTCTGTTTGAGATTTGATTTCTTTAGTATTATAGTATTATACCATTAGTTCTGATATGGAAGATTGTGTATGAATGAGAAATATGTTAAGCCCTTAAACCCATCTTCAATATGAATCCAAATTTTGAGTGCTACTGGTGACTGATTGATCTGTCTTGCCTTTCAGGTTAAATGAGAAGCTTAAGATTTAACTGTCTCGAAGTAGGTTTTAGACAAAATCATAAATTTTGCAGCTTAGTTCAAAATCGGGGCCTGCATACGATCACCTGCGGTCTGAGAAATGGGCCTCGGAAGCCTTTGTGGAGGTCACGGATACTCTCCACCGAGGCCATTCAAGCTGTTCAATCCCTGAAATTGGCGCAGAGTTCGTCTTCAAAACTGGATCGAGTTTTTAGCAGTAAGATTAACAGGCTTTTGAAGGCCGACTTGTTGGATGCGCTGACTGAGCTGCAGAGGCAAAATGAATTGGATTTGGCCTTTAAGGTAAATTTGGAACTTTTTATCTGCATTTTGTTTTTGTTGTTTGCCTAAGCTTATGGTACATGAGATGAGTTGTTGAGCAGAGTGTTTAAGCTAGTTAACTGAAGTTCGGTGTTTATATTTTTTAAGAGTAACTCTGGCTTAGTAGGAGATCGATTATGCTAAATACAGTCCAGTCTGTAGTCAACTTCATTCAATTTGATACACTTTTTTCGTCTCACTCTTTAACTCTCTAAATACCTTATAGAGTCCATGTACTGTCAGTTTTACTTTGAATGAAGAAATGGTATGATATTCATGCCCAAGAAGGCAAGAATGGTTGTAAACAGCAGAAAGAACTCCATGAACTTGACCTAAATCAAAGACCACTCTCAGCTGGCTGGTAATAGCCTCTTCATGGCCCTTCTAGAAATCCTAATCTAATATATGCGAAAGTAAGTTTGTGCTGCTTTGTGAATAGCGAGCTCGTACAATGTTCGAAAATGAAAGATCATTACTTATCCTGTTGTGCAGTGAAGTGCTTCATTTGAGGATGAGGTAGATTTTGCAATTTATTCTGCATTTTCTATTAAATCAATCTAAATTTTATTTTCAAGCAAGTTTTTTTTTTTTTT